GGGTGGGCATATACCAGAGTACGCGACTCGGAACCAGAGAAGAGCCCTGAGGGAACTTGCTCGTAGATTTGTGATACTGGGAGAGGTACTCTTTTAAGGATCTTTTGATTGAGTACTTTTAAAATGCGTCACTCAGGAAGAAGGTTCATACATTGTACAACAAGCGCACTCCAACGTATGCGTAGGACATGTCAATAGTTAGATGCTAGCAAAGAAGATCATGAGAAAGGCTGACTATTGGCCAAGGATGGAGAGGGCTTAAAAGCGCCTTTGTCAAGAAGTGCCAGAAATTTGGCACTCGCTCCTTTTCTTTTAGTCGCACCTTCGTCATCTCTTCATTCGTTGACGGCCCCCTGGCCCTTCTCGATGTGGGCATTTGACATCCTTGGACCGTTCGACGTCTATGTTGAAACATGTACCAGACCAGCCTGAATTCTGACAGCAACAGAGTCCTACACCAAATGGGCGGAAGCAGAACTAAGCACCAGGATCACCACCAAGACCGTTGTGAGATTCATCATGAAAAATCTCTTTTTATCGGTGAGGCCTACCAAAGATCTTTGTCACAGACAACAGGCAGCACTTCAACTCAGATGAAATCTGGGGCCTGTGCAGAAGATTCGGGAAAGAACTCCAAAATTCAGCCCCTTATTATCCTCCGTCTAACGGTAAGGCAGAAGCTACCAACAAGACTCTCATTGCCATCCTAAAGAAGTGTTATATTCCATTTCTAAAGCTAAAGGCATAAAGAGGGTCAGATTGGCCGGAACGATTGATTGAAGCTTTCTTTATGTTCATACCGCACCTCGATCAGAACCCCCACTCCCCTCGACCTGACTTATTCAGGCCGTTAGGTAAGCGAGCGTAATCGTAAGTATCTCAGCGCAACTCAACTCCTTGATGAAGTGAAGCAAGCGAACTGAATCTTATAACCTAGATCTGAACTCCCTGGAAATGAATAGCTGACTGAAGCAGGAATAGATACCATAGGCTTTCTATCCAGTACTCCTTCCTTAGATCCTTCTTTCCATGCTCCGATATGAGTTGAGTTTCGAGTAGTCGATGATTCTAGACAGGATTCTCCCATAGGTAAATCCTTTTCTTTGTTCTTTCTTCAATGCTTGGCTTGATCTTATCTTTCTTTCAATGTAAATGCTTCGGGTTCTACTAGACACACAGCGAGAAGTCGTTCCGCTCTGTTCAGCTATCCCTAACACACTACACCAAGCGAACCATCTAAGACCGAACCGTCTAACCTAGCTAGATCTGAGCTACCTGGATCCGTTTGTCAGTAAGTAATGGAGGAAGAGTTACCTTGATTGAGAAAGTCTGAAGGATTAGTACCCCCTTTCTCAATCAAGCCAATTCCAGCTGTTCTTGCTCTCTCAGGACTTCCTAGGTAAATCGAGTATGTGATAAAATTGGAAACAAATTTGCACACATAGTCAACCCTTATACAATAGGTTCTCAGTCTACATAGATAGTTGCTTGAAGCCGATAGTGGGTAAGTTTTAGATGAACGAACCCTCTTGTGGATCGCTTTCTCTTGCACGTTAATGAATCGAGGAATTGCGTATGTAAGGTCTGCTGGTCTGTAAAGGAGAATCAAGATTAGACAGGTAGTATCCCCCTAACAATAGGGAGTGCTAAGCTAGGGTTCAAATCCAATAGTAGCTAGAACCAGTGAAAGGGTAGTTCACCAGACCCGCTCACGATAATGCGAATAAAACGGCGGATAAGCCTATTACTGGTTACGGCGAGAAGATCCTAACAAACGGCCGGTTTACAACAAAAAAAGCACAAATTTAAGGCAATTAAAGGATGAAAGATAGCGGTAGACTAAGGAGTAAAGACTTACTCTTTCTCTTCTATTCTATGGAACACATTTAAAGACTTACTTACTGACCGGAAAAATGACTCCTATTTATTGACCGAATAGAAACCTATTCTTTTTTCACAATCGCCGATCAGATGTTAGGAATCGATTGCAGCGAGAAGCCTCTCTTGGCAAAGAAGCAAGAGTTCCGGTGCGGGAGTAATAGTAAGAAATCTTATCCTATCTGGAATCCAAAAAAAGAAATATGAATCTCGGGGGCTTTTAAGCTACTTTTTCTAATTCCTCTTGGGTTATTTCCGATCGGATCTTGGCAGGGGTTGGTGCATTGATGCCGAGAATACGCTGTTTGATAGAAGTTAAAGAATCAGCTGTTTGAAAGGTAACTTGATCTAGATGCGGAGTCTCGTTTGCACTTTATGGGATAACTTATTTTTTCCTTTAAATAAGAATAAGAGGAGGTGGTCAAGACCTTAGGCAGCTCGACGCATCTAGTTTGGGTCTTGCTAACGGGCGACAAAAGGATGTTGGCCTTCCCATTTGAAGCGGGGAAGGGGGCCCACAGAGATCTACCTGGCCTCGCCAGTCAGAATAAAGTCGATTAAATTAATAGGAAGGAAGAATAGGCATCGCCCTAGTTACTCGTTCAGACTGAAGCTGAGTAGGTTTTTGGACTAGTTAATCATGTATATGAAAGGCGTTCTATAAAGTGTCCTTTTTCCTGCCTATGTGTGACAATGAGTATGTGAACAGAGCATCTGGAAAACTTCGAGATTGGGTTTCTGCCATGGAAGTGGATAGGGGGCCTTGGTACAAGATCGAAGAGTGGGGGTCGCGAGAGAGCAGAGCTAAAGCCCCAGTCAGGAGTTAGTTTTTAGTCGCGACTCTTGCTTTCTTTGATTTTCAGCGGAAAGTAACAATTCTATTCAGTTCGGTTTCGGAAAACTTGCTGGTCGCGGATTAGTGCGTTCTGCGCCGCCGGCGGCCTAAACTAAAATAAAAGGCCTTTACTTTAGGGCTTACCTTAGATTAGCACTCGGAATAGTCGATATCACCCAAAGGACCAATAGACTGACATTTGTGGGTATAAGGAGAAGGAGTGTAATCAATATTGCATTAGGTTTATGTAGACTGATAGCTTAGTAAACTAGCCCAATATATATTTACACATGTAACTAGTTAAAGAAGAGAAGAGCTAGCACGAATCGTCTTTGCAGCGTAAACTCCTGAATTCATTCCTTACTCTAACGAGCAAGCACTCTTATTAGATAGATGTTGGCTAAGGACTGTGTTGATTGAAAGATCCAGGAAGGACAAGGAGCGAGAGGCCTTCTAACGTAATGGGTGGTCACTCGACCAAACAAGCAACGGAGTGAGATGAGACTGATGAATTTCAATTACAACAGTAAGAATCACATCGCATCTACTGTATGTCCTGTCTTGAGGATCGTTCGTGCCCCATCTTCACTGGATGAGTCACTTCACTACCTTAATTGCTTAAGGCAAGTTAAGGGAATAGAAGAGTAGGAAGATGGATATTATGATTTAGCTTTTCCCCTCCGGGGGTACCCTGCGGGGCTAGTTACACTCCAGTGAATAAATACCCATACCAGCAACTGCTACCGATTCAAAGAGATAGCGTATATGATGAATTGCGTATAGAGAGAACAAGACTTAGACCAATACAGTAAAGAATGAGACTCACTATACAGGGAATAAATACCAGCAACTGATACAGATACTGTACTGACGGATACTCACTATAGACTGATATGAGACAGTTACCTTTACTGTACAATGAGAAAGAATTAATGACTGAGATATGAGATATAGAATTCTACCGACAATGAATGAGTACACTAAGACTAAACAAGCAAGGGATTGAGCTACTGGATAGATTGATTTTCTTTCCCCGATACTGTACTGAAACAAGCAAGGGAAGCAAATAGTCCCGCTCTGGTCAATGAACTCACTTCATATCCGTTCGTGCCTCATACCGATGAGTCACTTCACTCGCCTTAAGGAGGAATCGATTAGCCGACTTAAATAAAGATAACTAGGTGCCAAGCCTTTATATGAAACCATTTCTCTGGGAAAGACATCTTCAACCCTTCCTTCCCGGAGATGCCTTCTTGTCCGGTGAGGGCAAATATAGAAAGCTTATCATAGAGGAAGGTTGATAAGAAAAGTTAAGTAGGTCGTCACTGGGCTCTTCAAGCCGAATATCAGTCCTTGTATATGAGGTGTAAGGCAAGGAAGTCCCACTATCGAATAAAAGAGGAAGGAGCCACTATTACACTATTACTGGAAGATCTATTCCTATGAATCAAAGTCAAATCCGAATCCGCTTTTCATTGGCTTTGTCTCTGCTATTGGACGATGAGAGGAGTTCTTCCCTTATCTTCTATGCTCAGGTAAGAGAGATGACTGAGATGGGAAGAAGGGGAGTTGGAAAAACACGGCATTAGATGAAGGATCACCTTCCTTCCTTAAGGGGATGGAGTCAGGGATAACATTCGATTAGGGCAAGCAGGTCTGTTAAAGTAAAAGCAAGGAACTGATAGCCTAAACTAAGTGGGGGCTTGAGATGAAGAGTTCCGCCCTCAGGGAATGTAGTCTCGGGATGAATGCCCGAAAAAGCAAAGTCAAAGACTAGATGCTCGCCTAGACTAATAGGCTGAAACAACCAAACTTCTAGCATTTCAGCTTAAGTTAAGGAGCTTAAAGCCGCTTGAACGAAAGGGGAAGCAGCGTACCAAACCAAACAGGGAGGAAAGCGACGGGTAAGGCTGAATTTCCTCGGCCTATTTCCATCTATTATTTGAAATCCTGTCTTGTCTACCGTCTTTTAAGATAATGAGACCCTCTACGCGCCCAACCACCCCACTTTAATAGTAGGAGAAAGGAAAACGTTCGATCCATGGAGTCCGTCATCGGATCTCCCCATTGACAGATAGAGTTGAAGAATCAATTTGCCCGGGATTGAATATTTAGATCTTCAACTACTTCCGAGAGGGTCTCATGCTACGATACGAGTAGAATACATAGGGGTATAGTCCGGGTAAACAAAAATGGATTTGGACGTATACCTTTTATTGGAAATCTACAAAGTCGCAATCCTGACTGCGAGAGCAGACCTTTTTGAGATTCATTCTTGCATTCCAGTCTAACTCTTCTTTCTGTCTGTCACGGGATCTCCACTACTTGACTTGCGACTTGAGTTAGCAGACTGAGCTTTAGCTTGAGCGAGAACGAAGGCAGACATCTCTTTTTTGGACTGAACTGCTTGAGCTGGAGCTTTGGACTCGACGAGGTATTGGGTGCTTGTCCTATTGAGAGTATCTTCCATTCTCTCTTCACCAGACAGATAGAAAAATAGGCAATCCTATAGATTATGGCTTCCTCACTATCAGCAAGCTCCCACAGGCGATGAACTGCTTCCGACTTCTTCATTCGGTTTGTAGCCAGAGTAGAGTGAAAAATGCCTTTTAATGGGAGTAGCTAGATTCAAGCTAGCATTCCAGCGAAACGATCCTTTGACAATGGGCTCTGCCCAATACTGGGACTGACTTACTTTATACAGAGAGAGGAAAAGCTGCAATCCAAGCTCTTTTTGAATCGGATATTGGATAGGCTAAGCTAGGTGCAGCCCGCTCTCTATACGGTTTTTCTGAACGCCCTTTGGGGAATTTTGGAGAATGATAGATTATGGGATTTCACTTTCTAAGACTGAAAGGGATGGCATGGGTTAAGCATCTTTCTAAAGTAGCATGATTGGACCTTCCTCTTTCTCTTACAGCTACCTAAATACTTTACGTGCAGGTGCTGGAAAGAAAGAGAAAGATGACCGGTAAGTCGAGCGACTCCGTATCTTTTCTAGAAGACCAGACCGAATGCTTTAGCGAGAGGAGTTGGAAGCTGGGCACGAACGGTACCAGTCAACATTAGAGGAAGTGAAATAGCTTGATATGAGGGTCCGCAAATGGGATAAGTGCCAGCGACACTCGAAGATGATACACTCACCGGCGGAAGAACTCCATCCGATTTCGAGCCATTTGCTATGTGGTGATTCTAATCTTTTTGTTTTCAAGTTCTGTTAGGTTCTTAGTAGCAGTCGGCGACCTTCTTGATTCTTTCTTATACTTCGGAATGTTTGACTTACGGTTCTCTCTTCTAACCAGGTTTTTTCTTTTTATTACTTTTGTATATATCTTTTTTCTTCTTCTTTATATTTTTAGATGGTGGTTGTTGTAAATCATTAATTAAAGTAGATTTCTTTAGGTCATAAGCTGTCTTACCAAGCATATTTATATTGAAACTCTCATAGTAAGTTATTTTAGACTTTAAATCAACGATTTCTTTATTTAGATTTTCATTTTCTTGAATAAGAAGCATCTTTTGATATTTAAGTATCCTTATTTCTTGACCCGCTAAGTCTGTAACAACCAATGGCACAGTGCCCACCCAATATTCATTCTCATCAAAGATAGGATTCCTTTTATTATTGATTTTTATTCCAAGATTAACAAGAGTTTCCTTTTTGGTGATGTTCAGCTTGACCCAATCAATTTTGAAGTTAGATGTAACAGGGGTTAGCATTGTTTTATTAATATCTTTGTATTGGGACTCAAACCATTCTTTATTGACCAAAGCTTTTGCAAGACCCTTGTGCTTAATAATAATCTTGCCTTCTTGAGACATAATATAATAACTCTTAGGTGCTAAGAAGATACCTTCAAGAGCATAGTATTCTAACTTAAACTTCCCCAATTCAGTTGATGATACATCTTCTTCAGGAAGAGGACTACCAAGAACGACTGAGTCAGTATCAGTGTAGTAAGAGTCTGGTCTGGAAATGTAGGGATACATATGAATCCGAGCACATGCTGTGACAGCTGCAGCCAATTGAACAGCTGATATCCTTGGAGGACACCAGTCAGAGTCGGAGACCTGTCCGGTATTGCTCCAGTAAGTGACGATATAGTAATGTTCGCTAAGCTTGTCCGCAAAGATGTAATCACTTATCTTTGTCAATAGGTTATATCGATCAAGATCGCAGACCTCAGTGATCGTGCATTTAGGATTTATACCAAATCTACCGTATAGTGAGTTCATGAGTATCTTGTAAACATAAGCCATAGCATCATTACCCGTTCTCTTTGCATCTTTTCTTTTATCATAAATAGTATTTACAAAGCTCTCGAATGGGCTATTCATCTTTTCAAAGCTGTAGCCTGAGATAAGAGTAACCTGGTAGCCTATGTCGCGCGCATACTTCAATTCTTCGCTAAAATACACACCCACGAATTCCCCGGTTGGGAAGACTATCGTTTTACTTAGATTATCCCTATAGGCTAAGAAAGGTTTCTTAATAGTAGGAGGACAGACAATATGAGCCTCAAAATATCCATACAAGCGGTCTATATCCTGACCTTCTAATTTACCATGCCAGACAGGCTTACCCCCAGGCATAGGAAATGTTTTCATGATATACGGATATAAAGAGTTCACATCGTAATAATCTAGATTTTCCCCTTTAGGTTGATAAGTATCAGCATGGCCCCCATAGTAAGCACGACGAAGAAAACTGTCTTCGTTACGATTTGGGATATGGATAGGAAATGTATTAGGATCGTAAAAGTTAGTACGATAAATACAGAGAGCTAGCGAAGATAAGGTCAATTTAGTCACGATATCCACTTTGAACTCATCAAAATAAATAGATTGTGCTTTCAGCATCACACCGCCTAACAAACGAATATCCTGTTTCAGGTATGATATCAATTGATCTCTGAGTTGGCTCAGATTCGACACTTGCACATTCTCATGTGGGATAGATCCCTTAACCCCTAAGTGAGGACAGAGATTTTTAGCTAAGTTATCAAGACTACTCGGCAGCAGTGTGAGGGAATCCCTTAGACGGAATAGCAGCTTCTTACCATGATAGACTGATAACTCGTAAAGACGATTATTCCTCATAAGAGGTGTGAACGTGTACTTCACACCATGAGTTGCTATAAATTTCATTAGAATAATTCCATCGAATCGTGAGAAGTTGTGAAAGTAAACTACTTTTATCGAAGGATCTTTTTTAACTACTACTACTATACGTTCTATAAAGTCGAACAAGAGCTTATTGCTTCGTTCTTCAAAGCTTGAAAATACTATATCAGGGTAATCCTCACTAAAATATATTAGAATGCCGTAGTCAGTCTCTGAAGATAGATAATCACCAGGTCTAACTACCATGAACCCCACTGCGTAAGGTACATGGACATCATTTATGAGTAAAGTCTCTATATCGGCTACAATGAATGGCTGCCTTTGACTTGAACTAGCTTTGAGTGCAGTGATATGCTTAGGGTAACAACGCTTACTATGGCCGATCTTTCTCGCTTCTCTAGGCTTGAAGGTCTCCTTATTGTTGAAGCTTTCCCAGATCTTGCTAGCAATATCGTCATCGGATATATATGGCATTGCACTTGACTTCAGTTCAGAAAGATAGATTCGAATATATATGCTAGAGATCTCAGCGCCGTCATAATCCTCTGCTTTCTGCCTGACAAGTTGATCTATCAAAGTATAAGGATAAGGTAAATCTTGACCATCTTCTCTAAATGGAATAGCATTACTTATTGTAAAGGATACTTCACCGGTAGGAGTACTCATAACATAGCTAATGGTAAACTTTCCGTAGTCAGACTCTGTTGTGTAGGCGTACTTGATTAGTAGTCGCAAAACAGCTAAAACAATCAGATCATTACATCTTAAGAATGGCGTATGGAATGTAATTCCTGATATTATCAATCCAGGATAGGGTACCTTTTTTTGCTGGGCTTTTAAGCGGTGATATGTCCCCAGCAACAATATCACTTCTACACCTACCCTGGGCCATACCTCTTTGGTCAATAAAATAACCCTCTCTCTAACGGTGATGAGCTGGTTCATGTCCGTTATACTCTTATCTAGAGTTTAGACTCATTGTTTGAGAGAGACAGGCCTGGACGAGGATTTTCAGGGCACTACTGGTGTGCTGGGATGGGATAATTCATACCCCCAAATGAGAATTGGGAGTATTCTTTTCTCTATAGAATAACATATGTTATATATGTTATTTTATACATTTCTTTTCTCTATAGACTAACATAGGTTGTATACGGTATTTTATAAATATCTTATTCTCTATAGACTAACATATGTGTTATAGGGAGTCTTCTTTTCTCTATAGATTAACATATGTGTTATATGGTATTTTATTTCGAACTGAACTTCTTCTTTTTCTCTATAGATTAACATATGTGTTATAGGGTATTTTATACATTTCTGGGCAGGTATGATTTAATTGAAGCATTAACTCAGCTAAGACAAGTGAGGTATGGTTAGCATCATTGGCGATAAGGCATTTTTCTCGTGTGATAGCAAAAAAGGCCTGTGGGGTTAGTGAAAGCTTAAGTTCCTTTGATGTGGAAGGGCTTTCTCGGCAAGAGTGCCGTTATGGAGGTCTGTGGAAGTCATTCCAAGTGCTATGATGGGGAATAGATGGATGGAGGAGGGCGTTGATTGGGTAAACAGGAAAGCTGAAAGGTGCTGGCGTCCTTACAGGATGAATCTGTATAGGCCCTTCCCTCCTATTCATTCAAAGTGGGCATTCAAAAGGTCTTGTGCCTGCGCTATCAAGTCAGGTGTTATAGGCAATGCCTCTCAAATGTAGGCCTTTGTACCGCGCACTCACATAGCTAAGGTGAAGAGCCTTTGGCAGCCCGATGGACTTGTGAAGTGGACAGAAGTTCCATAATCGAGATCTGGGCAGGAAGCAAATCTTCAACTGGTTGGGTCTGTAGGAGATATAAAAGGATGGCTTCGAAAAAGCAGGCTGAGTCCCAACTGGTTGGTTGAGACTGTGGCTGCGAATGAGAAATTATTCCTGACCTGGTGGTATTGACTGATGCTGTCTGTAGCACAAGGGAGGGGTATTGATGCAAAGATAATCAAGCCTCAATGGAATGGGCCTAGCCAAGTGTGGGATAGCCGTTCCGCTAGATTTCCCTGCCATGTCGATGGTCGCCCCGACCGATGCTTGGGGTGGGGTAGCATAAGTCGTTTCCAGTGAAGGGGTGAGCGGTTCTCGAGGATCTGCCACCTCGAGGACTGAAATGTTTGTAGTACTCTAATATAGTTGAGGATTTTGTGCTACAAAAATGGGCATAACCATAGGAGAAAGAATCGTCACTAGCGGTTGTTTAGGTGCCGTAGACTGCTTGTCAAAGTTTCCATAACAGGGTGGCACTGCACCATAAGGATGAGAAGTCTGATTAAGGCTAGCTTGTTCTTGTTTTGGCATGCTTGAAGACGTTTGGCTCTCCATGGGAGCCTTGCCCTCTCTCTTCACATGGTTCACGAACCACTTCCTGACTATGTGAAGAGAGAGGTTCGATGGGGCAGCGGTGGATGTTGAGGGTTGGATAGAATTCCCATCAAGTTGGATCTTACCCTCCTCAACGAGGTATTGAAAAAAAATGCCTAAAAGCTATGCATCTGTTAGTGCTATACCCGCGATGGAATTTGCAATATTTGTTGGGGTCATAGCCTAGAGGCTTAGGTTCTGGAGGGTAGGCAAGCCCATCATGTTTAATGAACTTTACTTGTCAAAGAGAACCCGGTCAGCAAAAGAAGTCAATTGTCGACGCCTACGCTGGCCATTGCTTTGACCTGAACATTTGACTGTTGAACAGGAGCACTCTGGCCTTCTTCAGTAAAGCGAAGCGATGGGAGCTACCTGGTGTGGCTGCTGATTTTGATGTTGTTGGGATGAAGGAGATAGATTTTTTTGCCCTTTGCTGAGAAGCAGGTTGTTGCTGCTGGGTTGTCACAGCTTGGACGTTGTTCCATCTCCCCTACGTCCCCCTTTGGTTGCCTTGAAGTTGCTGGGGAACAGGGAGGGTGAATATAAGACTTATATAATTTAGAAAATCTTTTTCGGTATAGCTCCGCTCCCGGGATGGATGCAAGGAAAATGGATAGCGATCAATAGATACGAAGGGGAGGACAGGATATAGAATGGAACTAGATGGATGCTTGCATTAGCGGTGGAGGTGCCAGGAGATAAAGTCGTAGCCACAATCTGGAACATGCATGAAGCGACCGACTTTTTCGCGTGAGCTAATTCAGTAATAAACCATATGGTTTAAGGATGAACAAAGAACTATATGCTCTCTATCGTTCGACGGTAGGAATAGGTGGGAGTGAGACCGGAAGGAATTTACGCAAAAGTGGTGTAGCGCTGCTTGCTTGCATAATGAGTGAGCCGGGAAAGGGGAAGAGCTAGCTGACAATTCAGCATTTTTTTATATTAAATCAATCCTTCACCTTCGGAATTGTGCTAGCCTCTATATCACGGGAAAGGGTAGAAGAGAGATGGGGCAACTACCTTTGGGGCCCTACCCAACCTAGATAGACCAACACCCCCGAACAGTTAATTTGGAATAGTAATAGCTCTCCCGGGCTCTACTGAAATATGAATTCAGCCTGGGAAGGCTTGCATCAGGCTCCGCAGCCAACCGCCCCGATTCCATCTTCCACCCCGATATATGGCAAACATACCCGGGGGGCAAACTATCTGTGTGGGGACATCCCTGGGCCGTAAGCGCTTTTCTAGCTGGGTGCCCTTAACACCGGGGTAGAGCTTCTTATCTCTCGAGTAATACGAATCGGCATGCGAAGGTTAACTGATCCTATCCCTACCAGAAGCAGCCCCTATCTCTAAAGGGGGCCCTTCCCCGTAATCCGTTGAAAAACATCCGTTTTCTTGCTTGGCCGTGCCAAATCTATGTTGTTGGCTACCTTCTTGTGGGCTAGTTGAGACTTGTCCTACTTGTTGGCTACGTTCAGCAGCTACAGAGCAGTCTTTCGAGTTCGGATTAGTTGATGGCTTGGTTTGAGCTTGGTGCACGGTTTCATGAGGTATTCAGGGGCGTGCTTCTTTCAGAGACTGAGTTATCAGCAAAACATCGGGATGCTAGGAAACTTCCTGTATCTCTCTCTTAGTCTTTGGTTACCCATGTGAACCTACAGGACATGTTGGCAAAGAAAACGCCAAGTGGCAAGTGGTGAGGGGTAACCACGCTAGCCTAGAGGGGCGATAGCCATGTCGTGGGATCAATGCCAAGACTACTTCCTACTAGATGAGACGCGCAGGGGCGCATTGAGGGAAGACCCTCAGGGAAGAAGGCACGAGATCGAGATGGGTACTAAGCTTACTCAGGGTGAAGGTCAGAGGACTGAGGCACTAGAGAGGCAACACAACCATGAGTTTACAGTGGGTTTTGAGTCGTGCTAACCGAGGGTGAAGACCAGTGGGTTGAGGCACTACGGGAAGCACTATCCGAGATTATCAGAGTGGGTTCCAAGCTTGAGTGGGGGAGACCACCAGGCACCGAGATTGAGGCAAATGAGGCAAGATACTTGTTCTGATAAGTGTAAACGGGGTAGCACTACAACTCTAGGGTTGTTCAATCGAGGCACTAGTACATGGCTTCTGTGGGCATTACAACCATGAGGGTGACTTGCTTGCAGGCACAAGGGTCAGTACAGGGTGAAGCCTTGGAGAAGTGGTCAGACACATCCGTGAATTTGAGGCAAAGATGAGCAGAATGCTAAGACCTCTTGGTGAGGCATCGAGTATTTGAGTTCTGAGGTACAGAGGTACATAAGGGTATGAGCCAAGACCTCCGAGAGTGGAGGCACATTACTAGAGAAACAGAGGCAAGCCTAGAGAGGCCTTCTAACGTAATGGGTCAGTGACAGCCACGCGAGACGAGATTGGGTTCAGAGGTAGCAAGTTAGAGGACTTGTACAGAGGCGCAGAGTGGGCAATGGGGTGCTACAAGAGTGTAGTTGATCCGAGGGTCACGTCCTGAGGGGCGCACTTCCAACCGAGTTTGTCCAAGAGTGGGCTAGAAACGGCACTTGATGAGGGAGACAGACAACGCTGGACTGGGTGTGAGCCAGAAGAGCAGAGTCAGAACTTCAAGTCAGTGCTCTTCATTATGGTCCTGGAAGGACCTTGTAGCCGAGGGTGGCACGCCGAGTTAATCCGTTGAGGGGCAGGCGAAAACTCCGCTGCTCCCCCTCTAGATCAGTCTATTCTTTCTTTTTTTTCATCGGTGGGGGATAATCCGTCCGTATCAAAGGTAGCTCATTCCTCTTGATTCGCCACACTCTATCCATCTCTGAATCGTGGGGCCCGAAACAGTGTTGATATGGCCGGGTTTTGATCCGGCATAGCACAGTGGCGTTTACGTATTCCCAACAGACTTTGAAAATAACCGATCCGAGGATCGTCTCGTCTCGCAAGCACAATGAGCCGAAAAGCACTTCCACATACTTGAGTGGAGTGCTCACGCCCTTTATCAAATTGATATGCTGACTGAGAGATCACAATAAGGATTACCAAAAGTAGGCAGTACTGCGGTACCAGTCCACGACTACCATTTCTGTAACTTAACTTCCCTGCCCCCTTTCCACTCAGTCTCATTTTCGGACTTCAGGAGCATTGAGTAAAGGTAGGCACGGGGTCGGGAAGATCTACTCATTCAAAGGGAAAGCGCACCCCTCTATTTATCAAAAGAAGAAGAGTTAGTATCCGTCCAGCACGCAGGAAAGAGAAGACATAAGACAAAGTCTTAAATATAAATAGAATAAGGGGTTAAGTTACATATGTAAACATCAACTAGACTTCGGTGGTTAACAACCACCTACTTCTTTGAAACATCAAATCCGGCGTAGTATGAATTCTACGTTAGTAAACGAAGAATTGGGTGATATCCAATCCTATGTCCAAAAGTAGAGCACCATTATCTGATCAGGCTAAAGAAAGCCTTCAGGCCAAAAAGCTTAGATATGAGGAAAGGTTGAAACGACAAGAAGAGCGCTTAGTGAAGAGACAGACA